CCCTTTGCTTCACGGTTAGGCTAAGCACCAATTTCCAAATTCCTCCACACCCTTACCCCCCCTAGCCATCGTTATAACCCTTCCAATGCCCTGTTGACCTAGGTTGGTTGAGTCACTAATCGGTGGAGGGAGCTGGAACTCAAGCATATAGAGAAGGCATGACTTGGTGAGATGTCGGGTTCCCCTATTTTGCAGTGTTTTATCTTTGTTCCGGTTCCTTCGAGGAGTCACTTGATGCTATCTCCAAGGGCGGATTTGAATCTAGATGAGGGAACGCGGTAAGATTGTATGGAATGCGGGGGGAGTGGTGCATGTTTGAGTTCTCTATGCTTAGCATAACTTATCCTTCAATCAACTTTCGGCATCCCCTTGCATGCTCACTTCTACTACTCAGAAAGTTTGACACTCATTCATGTTTGTTATCTCCAAAAGCTTGATTTGGCTATGATTTGTGTTGGATTTGTTGTTTCTCTTTCCCTTGTTTTTGGTTTGTCTTGAACGCAATTTTGTAAGAGTTGTGGGGTATGCTCTCTGGAAACCCTCACGAGATCACAACTCGTCCTCATCGGCGACCTTGGGGTTTAAATGGCTTGTTGCTTTTGCTAAAAGCAATTTCGGTTTTTCTTTTGTTCCTTGCATGTTTGAATAACTAATTCTTTCTCCCTTGTTCTTTTTCCTTTGCTTTGCTCGAGGGCGAGCAAAGGCTTAGCGTGGGGGAGTTTAATGAGTGACATTTATGTCACCCTTAGGGGTAGTATTTAGGTCTTTTTCCTCTTATTTTTCTTAGGTTTTCACCTCATTATCCTCTTATGGCTTCTTTTTGTGTTGATGAAAAGTAATGCTTATTTTGATAATCTTTATGCATTATTTTATCATCCCCATGCTCTCGTGAACTTTGGTATCTTCTGCAGGTTCCGTGACGGTCCTATGCACGGTGGGAGGCCCCTTGGCCAAGCATGGAAGCCATGGACAAAGGCAAGAGGAGCAAAAGGGAAGGAGAGGAAGCAAGAAAAAGAAGTGCAAGAGGAGGTGTGGCCAAACCTCTGGAAGGTCCGGTCGAACCTTGGTGTGGTCAAACTTTTCAAAAGTTCGACCGAACCTCCAGGGTGCAGTGAAGGCAGTGTCAAACCTGTTTTCAGCAATTTTGCAGGAGAGGTCGAACCTCAAAAGTTCGACCAAACAAGGATCAGGGAGGTTCGACCGAACCTACACAGGGTTCGACCGAACCTACCCTGAGTCCGACCGAACTTACCCAGAGTTCGGTCGGACCTTTTCCCGATCTCAGCCAATTTTGTACGGACTATTTAAGGTCCTTTTGTGATTTTTTAAAAGGACGGGAGAAGCATGACAGTAGCCTAGTTTTCAGAAACCTCCCTTAGTTTGAAACATTCCTTAGGATTAATTTAGCTTAGTTTTCATCAAATCAAATCATTGTATTAGTGAAATTCAAGAATTATTCTCAAAGTTTGGCAATTTGTATTCAACATTTGAAGCTTCAATTAGTAATTTCTCCAACCTTCTTCCTTTTAATTTCAGATTTTATTTGGTATTTGCATGTTATTTAAATCTTCCTAGTTCTTGGTAATTTGTTATTGGATGATAGTTATTTCAATTGTTAACCACTTTTCCCCAATTATTGAAGTATTTAGAACCCTAATTCTTGATTGCATGTTGATAAACATGAGTTGTGAGTAGTCTTCTTGCTAGGGGTTGGGTGAAGCTCGACCTTTTGGGTTAACTATGCAAATGTGGGAGAAGCATTGATGTTTGAATTGCAATTAAATTGATTATATGAGATTGCTTGTTAGTTCCTCATGATAGGTTTAGCTACCCTTGACTAAGGAGCTTGATAGTATGATATGCCTAATTTGACATGGAAGTGTAAATTGAGTACGTCATTACTTATTGTAATTTGATTATGTATCGTCTATTGCTAAACTAATGAGGAATCTAAGTTTAGTAGTGTGAGTTGTTTTCTAATTGCATGAGGTTGATTTTACATATAGTCCTTGCTATATCTTGTCTATTTTACTCCCCGTTTACCTATTTGCCTTGGTTGAGTGGATCTCATTCCCTAGTATCTTTAATTCATTGATTTAGAACCATAGTTTGTTTGTCTTCTTGACGAACCCCAATTCATCAATTGACTTCGAGTTAGCTTAAGTGTAAAGATCTTTGGCAATCATATCCCGTTCCTTGTGGACCGAACTCTTACTTGTCATTATGCTTGGTTTGTAAGGTGTTTGTTAATAAATGTGTTTGATTGAGTGTGGAATGTACGACCATTCCAACGCCCATCACAATCATTCCAAAATTTATTACGCATAAATTGTCTTCTCTATTAACCAAATCATAAGCTATTCTGCATCTATACAACTTCTGATTTTCTTTCTGCAAATTTATACAAAAATAAGAACACTAAAAAATAATTAGTATAAATCACAACAAATATCAAAAGAGAAAAACACTTACAAGTTTTAAATCAAGAAGTCCTCCATCTAGTCCAGTGTACCTTTGCATACACATTAATTCAAAAGGCCCACAATCATAATTTTATGTGCTCGTCTTCCAAGAAAAAGATGGAGTATGCCATGGCAACTTAGTAATAGTTTCCGCTAATGGATGTTCATGTATATATATATATATGTATATGTATATATATATATATATGTATATGTATATATATATGTATATATATATATGTATATATATATATGTATATATATTATATATATATATATATGTATATATACATATACATATATATATATGTATATGTATATATATATGTATATATATGTATATACATATATATATATACATATATATATATATATATATATATAAGTGTAATTTTCAATAAACAGAATGAGATAGTTAGTTTACAAAACCTTACTAAATATTTATCTATTCAATTCAAATGAGTTCGATCAATGTCAGTCTTATTATTATTCATTCAGGGGACATTGACTTTGCATTGACTTTTCTCTCTTCTCTCTCTTCCATGGTTCTGTGATTTTGATGGTTATTCCTCCTTTAGATCTTTAACAATGGCAAAGAAGAAGAAACAAGCTACTCCTCTCCCCCAAACTACTGTAAAACAGACTCATGTAGCTCCGATTGATAAGATTCTGGAAATTTTAAGGAATTCTGGGTCTACTTTCAACCCATATTCGATTGATGAAGTTGATGAACTTGTTACTCTTGCTCCTGGATTAGTTCATCCATCAGCTGGAATGTTGCCCCGAAGTGATGGAAACACCATTGATGTAGCTAAGGACCTAAATTTTGGCTCTATTTTAAGGGATTTCAATAGAATAGTACCTAGGGTATCTCCAGTTACTGTTCCATTGGATTCTGTTCTTGATACTTCTTCTCTTTCCAATCCGAATGTTTCCATGCCAAATGCTGATCTACCTGAACATTATGAGGGATTAATAGTTCCTGATTCAAAGAATGATACCTCATTCCATGGAAAACTTGCTGCAAAGGGATCTACTCTGTCTGATGTTGCTCCTGTTATTAAGGAAGGTAGGCCTGTTGCTAAATTGGTTTCTGCTGATTTGCTAGAGGGTAATAAGAAGTGGTGTAATGATGTAATATTCTATGTTGTGGGGTACTACCCTACTATTGCTGTTGTGCATAGGTTTATAGCTCAGAACTGGAGTGATTTTGGAAAACCAGAAATCTTCTGGCATGATGATGGTTATTTTGTCATCAATTTACATTCTGCAGCTAATATGTATACTTTGCTGTGCTTTGGACCCCATATGTTTTATGGAAAACCTGCTATTGTTAAACCTTGGAGTGAAAAGTTTGATTTTCACTCTGAAGTGATCAGAACAATCCCTTTATGGGTCAAGCTCCCAAACTTTCCCTTAAACTGTTGGGGAACTGATACCCTAAGCAAAATTGGCAGTCTATTAGGTGTGCTTATTTGTGCTGATGAGTGTACTTTTAGGCAACTTAGGGTGTCTTTTGCTAGGATTCTAGTTGAGGTGGATGTAACTAAAGCCCTGCCTAATTATGTTCTCGTGGAGGGTCCAACTCGTGAAACTGTTGAACTTAAGGTTCAGTTTAAATGGAAGCCCCCATTTTGCAAGAAATTTGACAAGGCTGGCCATGACTGTTCTGCTCCTAAGGTTCCTCAAAAGCAGGCTGGCCCTCCTCCAGCTCAGAAAGAAGCTGCTCAGAAACAAGTTTGGGTTCCTAAAACTTATACTACTGTTCCTCAAGCAAAGGTCAATGCTGATGTTGTACAACCTACTCATCCTCCTGTGACTACTCCTGCTCAAAATCATTTAGTTAATTCTGATGATGGATGGAGATTAGTGGGGAAAAAGACTAAAGTTCAGACTGTTAGACAGACTTAGCATGTTGTTACTAGGGTGAATGCTTACAATGCTTTAATGGCTGATGAGGAGGCTGCTAATCCTATCGAGGGTGATGGTAATCCCCCTCTAGTGCCATGATTATTTCAACTTGGAACATTAGGGGTCTGAATGATCCCAATAAAGTGACTGCTGTTAAGCAGTTACTTAGAGACCACTCTATTGATGTTGTAGCTATTTTAGAAACTAAAGTTAAACTGCATAAATTTGATTTTGTAAAAAAGAAGTTTGGCAGGGCTTGGGGGTGGGTTTGCAGTTATTCTTTCTCTCCCAAAGGTAGAATCTGGGTTGGCTGGAAACCTGATGCTGTTTTTTTAGATGTTATAGCTGTTAATGAGCAGTTTGTTCATACTGTTATCTCTACTAAGGATTTGCAACATCAAATTGCCTGTACCTTTTTTTATGGGTTGCATTCTATTCAACATAGAGCTCCTATGTGGGCTTTGTATTGGTGATTTCAATTCTGTCTTGTCTTCCCTGGATAGGCATAATGGGAATCCAATTACTGACTATGAGGTTAAGGATTTCCGGGATTTTGTTCATGACTAGGATCTTGTTGAAATTAAGAGTAAAGGTTTCTTTTACTCTTGGAATAATAAGGGTCCTGGAATGGATAAGATTGCTACCAGAATTGATAGAGGTTTCTTAACTGAAGCTTGGATGATGGCTTATGGTCAAACTGAGGCTGTCTATCTCTATCATTCTTTGTCTGATCACTGTCCTGTTTTGGTGGATTTGGTTCACTCTGTTGCTGGGAAGGGCAAACCCTTCAGATTTGTGAATTGCCTTGCTTTTCACAAGGATTTCCAGGAAGTTGTGTCTTCTCATTGGAATGTCAATGTTACTGGTAACTCTATGTTGCAAGTCTGGAAGAAACTAAAATCTGTCAAGTCTTGTCTTAAAGATCTAAATACTAATCATTTTACTAAGATTACTGACAGATTGGAAGTTGCTCGTCTCATCTTACTGAGGTTCAATTTTAATTAGCTGAGGACTTTACTAATGTTTCTCTTTAGAATTAGGAGGCTGTTGGGATAGAAAAAGTGAAGTATTAGATGTATACTTATGAGAGTATCTTAAAGCAAAAGTCAAGAGTTGACTGGATCAAGATTGGGGATTCTAACACTCATTATTTCTTTTCTGTTCTTAAAAAGGCAGAATATGAATAGAATTGATTCTATTTATAATAGTGATGATGTTTTGCTGAAGGATCCAGATTTAGTTGAAGATGAAATTATTAACTTCTATCAGAATCTTTTAGGTTCTGCTGCTAGTACTTTGCCAGCTGTTGATGTTGCTATTGTTAGGTTGGGAAGCAGCTCTCCTCTAATGACATTGATATTCTTTTTGATCCTGTTTCTCATGCTGAAATTGACCAAGGTTTGGCTAGTATTGGAGATGATAAAGCTCCTGGCATAGATGGATTCAATGATGTGTTCTTTAAACAACCTTGGAATCATGTGAAAATTGATGTTTACAGGGCTATTCTGGATTTCTTTGACACTGGTGTTCTTGAGAAATCCTAGAGTTGTACTACTCTTACTCTGGTTCCAAAGGTTCAGAATCCTTCATATGTTAAGGAATATAGACCTATTGCTTGTTGCACCCTTGTTTATAAGTTGATCTCTAAGGTCATAACTACTAGATTGGCAAGGGTGGGGGGTTATGTTGTTAATGATGCTCAAGTTGGGTTCATCCCTAGGAAGCACATTGGGGATAACATTCTTCTTGCTACATAGTTGATCAAAGGCTATTCTCACAAATTTGTTACTCTTAGGTGCATGTTGAAAATTGATCTTAGGAAAGCATATGATTCAGTTGAATAGGGTTTCCTTGAGACTATGCTTAGTGAATTGGGATTTCCTAACAAGGTATAACCTGGATTATGAGCTGTATAACTTCTGTTTCTTACTCAGTTATGATCAATGGATATCCTTTTGCTCCTTTTCAAGCAAAGAAAGGTTTAAGACAAGGTGATCCCATGTCCCCTTTCCTTTTTGCTTTATGTATGGAGTATTTGTGTAGGTGTTTGCAGAATATGACTAAGGATCCAGATTTTAACTTTCATCCTAGGTGTGAAAGACTTGGGATTACTCATTTAGTGTTTGCAGATGATTTACTGATGTTCTCTAGGGCTGATTTGGTTTCTGTTAAGCTTCTTTTTAAGGCTTTTTAGAAATTTTCTAATGCTTCTGGTTTATCTGCAAACTTGGATAAAAGTGATGCCTACTTTGGGGGTATTTTGGATCATATTAGATGTGAGCTTCAGCAGGTTTTGGGAATGTCTAATGGTACTCTCCCTTTTATGTACTTAGGCGTTCCCCTGTCTTCTAAGAAACTCACTATTTCTAAATGCAGGCCTTTAATTGAAAGGATTACAGGCATAATTGATACTTGGGCTGCTAAGCACTTGTCCTATGCTGGCAGGTTACAGTTAATTAAAATTATTCTCTTTGGTGTTCAAGCTTACTGGGCTCAGATTTTCATTTTACAAAAGAAAATCATTAGAGAGATGGAATCTAGGTTCAGGTGTTTCTTATGGACTGGGAAAGGTAACCCTACAAAGAAAGCTCTTGTTGCCTGGAAGTTTATGTGCCTTCCCAATTCCTGTGGTGGTTGGAATTTGATTTCCTTGGAAGACTGGAACAAAGAAGCTATTACTAAAGTGCTTTGGGACCTTGCTAGCAAATCTGATACCCTTTGGGTCAAATGGGTTCACATTTACTATTTTGCAGGCAAGACTTCTTGGACTGCTTCTAATCCTAACAAGGCTTTCTGGATTTTGAAAAAGATCCTTGCTTGTAGAGAAATTGTATATGATATTGGTGGATGGGATAATGCTACTGTCAATGGCAAGATGCAGATCGAGAAACTGTACAGTATCATTAAACCTCAGGGCCCTAAAGTTTCCTGGAAGAGAATCACTTGCAACAATCAAGCTTCACCAAAGAGTATTTTTGTCACTTGGCTTGCTATTCTGGATAGATTGGTCACTAAGGACAGATTGTTAGTCTGGCGAACTCCTTGTGATCCTTGTTGTTTCTTGTGTGCTGATGCTAATGAGAATATGAACCATTTGTTCTTTGATTGAAGTTATTCAAATGTGATCTCGTCTTCGATGTTACAAATTCTGGGTTTCACTAGGCCTGTATTAAGCTTTGCTGATGAACTGCACTGGATTACAAAATGCTGCAAGAAAACTGATGCGAGGAGCAGACTCATTGTGATGTACTTTTGTGAAACAGTCTACAATGTGTGGCTTCAAAGAAATGCTTTAATGTTTATAGGAAACTGTAAATCAGCTTCTGAGTTAATTAGGCAGATAATTGTTTTGGTTGCTTGCAGATGTAATAGCATAGATTTTTACTGTATTCTGCTTAGGTTGTTGTTCTGGTCCTGGTTCTTAGTATCCTTCCTAGAAGGTGCTTAAGTTCCTGAGTCCAGTAGTTGGTTCCTGTTCTTCCTAGAACCCTTCCTAGAAGGTGGCTAGGCTTGGATTGGAATATGTTTGGTGTTTGGTTGGCAAGTTTGGTCTTTGGTGTTTGGGGTGTTACAGCTTAGCTTTGGTGTAAGTTGTAACCTTATTCTTTGGTGATAAAAATTTCTATTTACCAAAAAAAAATGTCAGTCATATTATTTATCCAATCTATACGTGGAGTTATACTAGGAATAAAATTGAAAATCATCATAGTATAATGATTATTGTACCAAATGGGAAAGGTTATCTGCAAAATAAAAAAAAAAAACAAAATAAGTCAAACTATTATTTCATATAGACCAATAAATGATATAATTCATCTAATATCTAACTAAAACTTGCTAATTTCGGACTTTTAGATTGTTATGCCTGACTAAATACAACAATACATATGAATTATCTAATACCTGACTAAAGCATGATAATTCCTGACTAATAATATCTAATTCCTGACTAAATATTGTAATGTTAGATTCCTGTCCTATATATATATTAAGTTAAACTTCAAAATGTTAAATCCAAAACTCTAACTCTAAGACTGTTTAATTCCTGAATAAAATATTGTTATGACTGACTAAAATAGAATAATACCTAACATAAGTTATCCAATATCTGACTATAAAATGTTAATATCTGACTAAGATGTTATAATCCCAGACAACAATACACCACCTGGCTTAGAATGTCAATTCATGACTAAAACTTGTATATTCCTGATCAATATAACTTAATTCCTGATTATAATAATTATATTTCTAACTTAAATTGTTATGCCCGACAAAATACAACAATATATGAGATGAATTATCTAATATCTGACTAAAGCATTGTAATTCCCGACTAATAATATCTTATTCCTGATCATAATAATCGAATTCCTAACAAAATATTGTAATGTTTGATTCTTGACCTATATTACGTTATACTTAAAAATGTTATAAGACTGTTTAATTCCTGAACAAAATATTGTTATACATGAAAAAAATAGATTAATACTCACTATAAAAGCTAGTACTTGAATATAAAAATATATTACCTGAGTAAAACAAGAAATAAAGTTAAAAACTTACCAACTCTACTTCAGCTATATTGAGCGTTGGAAAACATTTAACCTATTTATCAATGGAAACGTAAACATCTTGAGCATCATGTTTTTTCAATTCTAAATCAAGCTCCTTTTTTGTCAACTCATCCCTAAACTTTGCATATTCTACTATATCATTTTCCAAAGAATTCAAAATTTTTGTCCTTTGATGAAACTGACCTTTTTTTTAAATAGTTTTCTCTCTTTGTTATATATCTCTGTATAGTCTCCTACAATACAAAAAAATAAAACATATATTATGTTATATACATTAAAATTCCAAATATAATAAGTAAAGAAAAAGAAAAAACTTACAGTAACTCCAGTATAAAAAATAAATCTTTTATACTGAAAAATTTCTCTATTAGTTATTTCCCTCTCTTCAATATTCAGCACAGAAGCCCAAGCATCATGAATAGTACTATTAACCCAGACAGAGGGATGCAGCAAACATAACTCCTCTTTTACCAAAATAATTTCGCTTTGGGAAATATCTTCAGTGGCAAACTAACAGATATTATCACCAGTATCTTCCACATACCAGTTCCTGTTACGCGTCTTAACTTCCTCATCTTCTCCTGTAGGATCTAACTCTTGCACCTTATCATATTTCCTAAAAAATAGGAAGTCACACATATATCTTTCATTCTCACTTAAATTTTTTAGATACAGAGGCTTATTTTCCTGCAAACTCTTAAAGACAAGTATATGTCGATTTTGAATCGAAATCTTATCAATAGGGGGATATACCCAATCCGAATCAACAGCTTCTTCCAAATTAGCCTGCAATTCCAACTGCTATTTATCTCTTAAATATTGCAATCTCTCAACCCTTTTTTAACATATGCATCAGCAGCAATAAAAGGTAGTTTCAGGTGGATCATTTGCACCAGTAGAAATTTTGTCTACATCAATTAACTGAATGTGTATTTTAGGAGGCTGAGTTCCTATTTCCATAAGCTCATCTTGAGACAAATCAGCAACAGTAGAAGGAGTAGGAGTTTTATCTATTACAATTAGGTCAGGATTAGGAGCAGTAGGAGATTTTAAAACTGCAGTTGGAACAGATTCCTTTGCAGCAGATTCCTTATATTTAGTTCTCAATAAATCTAAAACTGCAGTTGTATCTCTAGGCTCAGCTTCCTGCAAGAAAATAAAATGAATTAAAATCAAACAAAAGTAATCTAAATCCAAACAATAATAACCTATACTAATATAATATGAATCCTGAATTAAAAATTTTAATTCCCGATAGCAAGATTCTTATTACTTACAAAGGTAATCTAATAACGGAATGAATAAATCTTTTTCTTGATTAAGAATGTATTACTTTTTAAAAAAAAAAGTTAATTTTTGATCAAAAAGTTATAATTCCTAACTAAAGTATTCTTATTACAGATAAAAATAATCTAATATCTGACTGGAACAACTTTCTTCCTGATTGAATAATTTACTTCCTAACAAAAATAATTTAATTCCTGCCCAAACTAATCTAATACCTGACTAAAATATTCTTATCCTGATACAATAAATCTAATTTCTAACCCAACCAATCTTGTTGCTTTCAGACATATTTTAATTCCAGAAAAAAATATTTTAATTGCTGACAAAACTTACATAATAAATGACAAAAATAATCTAATTCTTGACAACAACAAACAAACAAATTTATGATAAAATTAAATTATTAGTGACAAAATAAATCTAATTTCTTACCAAAATACTTTGGTTCATGAAATAAAAGTAACATAAATAATTACCTGATGCACCTCATCAATAGATAAATGATGTTCTTCTGTAACTTTACACTGAATTACATCATCAGATTTAGTAAAAACCTGAAAACATATGTATAACAGAAATAATGAAATACATAAATTTATTTATATAAAATATCAAATTTAAATACAATTATTATTTTATTAAATTATCCAAATAAAATACACATATTAGACCTTAGATGTGCTGTCCTCATCGTTGTCATTTTTTCATTCTTTTTCATCAGTTACTGGAACTTCTTCTTCAGTAACTTCTGCATTTTGTTCTTGGGATGGTAGTAAAGATGGTTGAGGAGAAGGAGGAGTAGGAGTAATTAAATTAAACTTTGGCATAAAATCAGCTCCCGTGGAAAAACTTCTATCTTCTTGCATAACCCTGCCTGATTATCATTCAAACCAGTTGAATAAAATTCATTGAGTCCCTTGGCTTTCCTTGGCGTTCTAGGAGGTGATATTGAAGTTTCTAATGATTCTGTAACCAGCTCAGGAACAACCATGGTAATAGAACTAAGAACACCCTCCCCACCTGCTGAACTAACCACATATTCTATTGATGTTGTGCCAGGTTCAGAATATACAGCAACAACTTCAACACCAGCTGAAACAGTAACATCAGTTCTTTTGTCAACAGCAGCAGCTTCTACACCAAGTGAAACAACAACATCAGCTCATTGGTGAACAGTCAAGACTTTGCCTTCATCTATAGTTTTCTCTGGTATCTCTTAAGGCATACCACTTTTAGGTATATCAGTTTCTTCTTCTACATTGAATTCTTTTTCTTTATTTGCATCCTCTAAATTATCACTTTTAGGTATATCTTGACTTAGGTCTTTCTCCAAATCAATATCAGCAATAACATTATTCGCCTATATAAAATCAACATTAATATCAAACACAAATCTTAAATTAATTTCATATATAAAATTATGATAAAGGTGATTAAACTTACAATTTCATTAGGCTTAAGCTTAAGATCAAAATTATCCCAATCAGTGGCTAACGTTTTGCTCTGCATAGCAGCTAACACTATTTTATCAATTTTTGCTAAGAACTGAGGATTGGAATATTAATTATCTTCTCCTTGAGATTGAGATTCTTGTGAAGTTTTTATTGCTTCATCCTTCAAATCAATAGCAAAGTGAATTTGGTTCTCTGATACGATCTTCAAGTCACGACCAAATTTCATCATTTTATTTTTCACAGCCTAATAAAAAATAGAATATAGAGTGAATGAGTAAAATATAATAAAATATCTTACCTGCAAGAGAATTACAACATTGTAATTCCTGATAAAAGTAATATAATTTCTGACTAAAACAATGTTATTCCTAAATGAGATAACTTATTTCCCGACTAAAAAAAAATCATTCATGACAAAAATTATCACATTCCTGACTAACATTTTGTTATTCCTGATAAAAGTAATCTAATTTCTAACTGCAACAATGTTTTTTTAATTGTGATATAACTTATATCCTGACTAAAATAATTTCATTCTTGACCAAAATTCTCATATTCCTAATAAAAGTAATCTAATTTCTGACTGACAATATTAATGCTGATTGAGATAATTTATTTCCTGATATGAGAATTTCTTACTCCTGATAAAACTAAACTAATTTTTGATTGCAATTAATCCACATTCATATTATATTAATAACTTAATTCCTGACAAAAAGAGTTAGAACATTACAGCAGGTTATACAGTATGAATTCTTGAATAAAAAACTTTACAAAATTAATAAAAAGATGAGATTTTAAACTTACATCAATATCCATTTTATCAATCTCATCATAAGTGGGGTACTCTTTAGGAATCCTGTACATAACATATCACGCTTTCTCATTTTTAGCTTTCAAATCAATGGTAGCAGATTGAACACCCTGACCTTCCTTATTTTCACCAGAATCTTCATCATCAGTATCTTCAAGTTTAAACTCAATGCTATCCAACTGAAAAGATTTTAGAAGCTCCTGTTCACTTTTCCCAGCATACTGTAGTGGTAATGTCTGAGGATACAATTTCACAGTACCGTAATCGATATTTTCAGCAACGGCTTTAATCCTCTCATTCAGACTTTCACAAGACC